TGAATATCTGAAATGCTCAATGCACACGATTAGTCCACAAATGTATTGTCATCAATCACCAAAACCACTTAGAGAGAGACATGCCCTAACAAAAGGCGCTTCATCTTGCTATTGAGCAGTCGGAGCGCGAGGGAAAGGAGGCAGGGGCGAAGAAGGCTGGGGAGAAGGACAGGGCTGTTCGTCGGATGAAGGGGCTCATCGTCCTCTCCAACTCCAACTCCGACGACGGCGACAACTGCACCTGCTCATCGGACGACCAAGACCCTCCACCAGCCGCGGACGCCTACAGCTGCGCCGGCAACCGGAAGAGCAAAGGCCCGGTGAGGAAGGGGTGATTCCCCCCCCCCCTCCCCCTCAATGTTTATATCGTTTTAGTTGTAGATGTTTAAGGACTTGTTCGATGACGAATTATGATTTTTTGGATGTCGCGAAGTATGTTAATGTCCGTTTGCAGCGGATCTTGTGTTCCTTTGCATCTGATTTTTTGATCCATCGTTTGATCACTTAGGATAATCAACGTTTGCATGGGTAATATGGATATAAGGCACCGAATATGAGATAGACGACTACAGCATGCCAAATATAAGTCGTGCCCGGTCAATGCCCGTAAACACGTAAACGCGTCCACGGGTGTTTGAGGGGCTGGATTTGGCCATCGCGGTGTAGATGCTCTTAGCGAGTATTCGACGACAGTGAAATGCAGGTGTGGGTGTGTTAAAAGGCAAAGTTGCATTCAAAGACATGGCGTCCATCACCACCTGGCATCGGCACCCACCACCAAGAGGGCAAGAGCAGCAGCAGCATCCAAAAAGAACATTGTCATCACAGAAATTGACCGTCCAGCCTTTGATAGGAAACACAAACATTAAACGTAAAGGAAAGAATCTACTCCCTCCGTTTTAAAATAGATGACTCAATTTTATACTAACTTTGTATTAAAGATAGTATAAAGTTGAGTCATCTATTTTGGAACGGAGGGAGTAGATCACAAAGGACACCGGCATACTCCTATCGCACTGCAACAAGAGTTCAAAAGCTGTTCAGAGGACAACAGCAAAGCAGACACTATAACTCAGCCACTAACCTCTCTAATTACGGCGAACTAATGTATCCCGGAACAACTCTTCACTCGTTCTTGTCATCGACTAATCGTACGAGACGGCAATTTTATACCACACTTTGCGTTATGCCGGATGACTTTTTTCTCGCTTCCTTTTGCACAAATTCTAATCCGGATTCCAAATATCATCTATGATCCCGCCATGAGTTAATTTACATATGCAGCGTCAGAAAGGCAATGAAAGGCATAGTGGCCAATAAACAATAGATGCTACAAACTCTTCTTTAGGAACCTACCCGTTCATGTATCCGGAGAAAAAGGGCCAGAAAAACTAGCAAACATGTTTAATCAATATGTTGTGCTCTGTGCATCTTTATCTTCAAGAAACAGATAATTCATGTATTAACTGTCAAGAGAAATATATGCCGGTCTCCTGGGCCTTAGCTCCATCTTGATAGCATCAACTAAATCAGTTTTCTCTTGAGAGATCAGCCTCCTAATTAACTCTTGCTGCCCTCTTCGTGGCAAAAAGAACTTCTAGAATAAACTCGAAAGGAGGCAACTTATTTTCACAGCTAGCCATAAACCCCAAAAGAACTGGCCTTCCTAAGATAAGCTTGGTTTCAGAGTTCTTGAGTTCTGCATTTGGATATGTTTTTCCATTTGCTTCACTTTGGGAGCTGTCATTGGTTTGACCAAAGACCAGCCCGCAGCCGGGTGGAAGGGGGCGAAAAAGCTCTTGTCCCCGTCAAGTGGGGGCTCGAGACGCATAGTTTAGTTCTTGAGCTCTGCATTCGGATATGCATCTCCATTTGCTTAACTTTGGGAGTTGCCATCCCTTTGACCAAAGACCAGCGTGCGGCCGAGTGGAAGGGGATGTTTGTCACCAACTCACCACCAATCATTCAATCCATTCATGGATTTTTCTGTTCCCTGCATGAACGGAGCTACACTAATTATTTCCAGGATATCAAAACCGTCGGTTGGTTCATGCGTGGAGCGTGGAAAACGTAGTCACCGGACGAACAAACCGAGAAGCTACGTCACGTTGTGCATCGATTGAAACTGACGTAGAGGCCGAGGATCGAACTTTAGTCATGTAAAGAAAAGTTAAGCTTAAAAGGAGGATTAGTAGCATGTAGAATGCCGATGCTTTGTTGAGTGCCTTACCGCTTCTCCGTACCTACTAGCCATTTATTTTCAGGACTAGGAAGCGTGCACATACATCACCAGTCTCGACTAAACAGAATACTCGAACTCTAGAAGCTATATGATGCAACTCAAAAGACTAAGACAACTAAACAAATCAACATTTGAAAATATAATATCCAGTGCCAAGGACCCAACAGCGGCATTGGGTACATGATGGAGTTATACTTACATTCAGAGATGCTTGGCATATCATTAGAAAAATAGTTTGTTAAAGCCATATGAACCAACTCAAGTGATACATACCGCATTCTCATCTTGTACTAACCAGAGGCCCCAACTGACTTGTTGCATATCCCACGCATCAATATTCGTTTCATGGTCATTCAGAGCATTTTCTTCAGTAAGACGCATTCTCATCCAATGATGAACATGGTCACCAAAATGCAATCAACAAAGAATCCTGACAGCAAACTTGGCATGACAACGTGAGTACCACCAGGGTGCATCACCCTTTCATCGTATGGAGTATTTCATGACTGACCTAGAACATTTAAATGCAGTTGAATGTATAACAAGCATTAAGAACTGAGAATCACAAAGTTAAATCCAATCTGCAAGTCAGTATGACCATTACAATTTGAAGCAATCCACGCAAAGCAACTTCCCCAATCATGGAAATGAGGTTAAAGGATGACAATCGAAATTGTACATATACCAGGATCACTCAATTTTAAATAAGAAAACTCTACGCAGATCAATATAGAGTGTAGGCAAGAGATACGTTGAATTCTAACTGACGTCCAGGCTAGATGATAAGAGATGAAAAATTGTCAAACAATTTCGAATAGATGATTTAGCTTGTGCTTCATAGCCAACAAAATAATCGCATGAGTGCGATTTCACAGATTGTGAAATAAATGTAGGCTTCAGGACCAACTGAGCTAAAAAAAGAGAAACCAGAATCATGCTACAAGAATATCCTCAGCCAACGACAGATCAAAGGCATATATCCTCTTACATGAAATAAAAACTAGCAAACATATTTAATCTCGCACTGCAATTTCTGGTTGCCTCAAGGAATTAATTGGCAAATTTAAATATTTAATAAATAACAAGTCATATATTATTCAATACAAAACACATGTCAAAAGGGAAATTATTCCGACATCACCTAGATCTGTACATCCCACTAAGCAATAAGCATATAACCAAGGCTACAAATAAGATACGACATGCGGCTTGATTTAGAAATTGAACTGTTGGCAATACAATTATGAAGTTTGGAATAATGCTCATCCAGATTTTCTAAAGTTCTCAAGTACAATTACAAAATCTGAAATGAGGGTAAGAAAAAGGAGGTGAACCCATAATGTTAGTCAATAGTACAACCATATATATAGAGTTAAAAAAGGAGGTGAACCCATAATGTTAGTCAATAGTACAACCATATATAGAGAGTTAAAAAAGGAGGTGAACCCATAATGTAACTTTAAAAACAGTGCAAGCGTTCAGAAATTAAGGAAAAACCTGAAGATGTCACAGGCAATCAAAATCTCTATAGCCTGTAATACATAGAACAACATGTGTCAACACAGGGATGCCTATTTATTCTTGCATTAAAGTAGACTCGTCGAAAGGACAAGAACCATATGAGATGTTTATCTTGAGGCAGTCAAATCAGGGTATCTCTCCTTTTAACAAATCTTTCCTGTAAATTGACCAAGAGTGTCAATAGAGCACAAAGATTTCGAGGTCATACTTATACTGCAGAGTGTCAGTAATGCAAACTTAATAAGAGTAATTACACAATGAGCTAAATAAAACCAAGAAGATTAACCTTGTAGACTTATCAAACCAAGAGAATGGAAGTTTAAATTATTTACTTCACTTGAAAGCCGCAAAAACTATAACAAAGTCTATAACTGTACAAATATGGTGTCATATGGTAAGAAACAATTTTAAGGGTTAAAATTTTGTAGTTGTCTACTATATATTGTGCCCTAACTAAAATTGCCAACGGTAAAAGCTAGTAGCATTTGGCTCCTGAACAAAACGAAATAATTTACAGACATGAGGTGTTGCTCCCCTTCTGGGGTGGAACCAAGATTCTGTAGGAACATAAATAGTTTACAATTAATTTTGTATCCTAAGATGAAATACAAAACAAAAAGAAATAATCTCCGTGATTCCAGGTAAAAGAAACAAAATTGCCTTAAGATGTGACTTGCAGTGCCATGACATCACACCAAAAATTAAAGCCTACAAAATATAAATTTTGAGGAGCAGCAACGGCTTTCACCTGGAAAGGAAGACAAAAGAGAAAAATCAACATCCTGCAACTCCTATGTCAGACGGAATATGTGTAGAATGAAGTTCCAACATTTCTACCTAAAAACCTCAGTGCCATCTACATATGAAATTCCAATGGGGCACTGACCATGACCAAATAGCAATGCAGCTCTTTTCTTTTTTTGTTATCTCAACCAATCAAAGCATACATGATATAAACAAATTAATTTGCATCAGAGAGTGGAAGTAAAGTCTAGAATTAAACAAGGTACATATGTATATGTACACTTTTTAAACATGAATTTCTACAGCAAGAGTGTCAATAAAATCATACTACCACCGTTACATACAGGCACCGCTGCCCGGCCCTAGCCTCATGAAATTTTCTTTAGGGGAGAAAATCTCTCCTATGATCCTACTACCGCCATTACATACAGGCACCGCCACCCCGCCCTAGTGCCGTGGTGGTTCAGATTCAGAAAGGGGATGCAATGCGGGGTTAGTATGGTTGGAGGAAATCAGCCGAGTTGGCCATGGAATCGGTGGTCGGCCAGGCAGACCGGAGCAGCTTCAGGAGGTGCTGCGCCTTGCGTTTGGCACGCTCCGAGCAGCCGCCTTGCACCATCATGAGCAGCTGACTCATGGCACCTGCTCGGACGGCCTCCAGCTGCAGCCCCTCAGACCCGCCCACCACGGCCACCAATGCGCCCGCAGCATGCTCAGCGCCGCGCCCGGACATGGCGCGCACTAGCGCGATCACCACCGCGGCACCACCTCCAGCGCCCGAGACAACCGCCTCGCGGCCACCCTCTGTCCGGGACAGTCGCTCCACCGCTGCTAGCGCACGCTCCAGCTCGCCGACGCAGCCGCCCTCCGCCACTCGGCGGGCCAGAGCTGATGCGGCACCAGCTGATACGGCGCGCTGTCTGTTCTCCTTGGCCAGGCAGAGAGCAAAGAGGCCTCGGATCCCAATGCGCACTGCACGGGCATTTGCCTTCTCGTCCACCAGCGCGACCAGGCCTTCAATGACTCCATCAGCTGCGCCAAGCACCACCCTGGCCTCCGCCCCAGACACCGCAGCAGCCGCCTCCACGACGGCACCTGCATTAACCTTGGCCTCCAAGGTCGTCCCCTGGCTGCCAAGAACTTTGCCAAGCCTGGTGACCCTCTCTTCCCTGCCCACCACATCCACAGCTTCCGCCTCCCCCATCCCTACCAGGGCAAGGACCGCCATGGCCTCCGCCTGAGCCTCCTCGGCGCTGCCCCCGAACGCCATTTCCACCAGAGCCGCCCTGGTCTCGTGCGTGGCCATGACGAGCCTGTTCTTGTCAGACTCCCTGGCGAGCGCCCTGAGCTTCCTGAGGACGGGGAGGGCAGGGCCCTGGGCGATCAGGGAGCGGATGAGGTCCGGGTCGGCCGGCTGCTTGGGCGTGGGGATGCGCTCGACGCCGAGGGATCGGTGCGCGACGCACCATTCCTGGATGAGGCGGCGGAGGGTGTGGTTGGGGATGAGCGTGAAGTCGGCGAGCGGCGCGCGGGTGACGGGGCAGGTGGTGTTCCCCGTGGCGACCCACGACTCGATGCTGGCACGGTCGTAGGTCTGGCCGGTCGCCACGGTGACGGGGTCCTGCATGAGCTCCAGCGAGATTGGGCAACGGAAGTACCACGGGACCTGCAGCCCTACCGTGTCCAGCCCCAGCGCCAGCGGCACGCTCCCTGGCATTGGCGAAACTCGACTGCTCCACGCCGGGCGGCGTTGTGATTTGGATCTGGCCTACTCTGGCTAGCTAGCTAGCTTGCGATGAAGATGTGATGCGCGTGGGTGTGGGTGGGTTGGTGGTGGGTGGACACGACACGGGGGTTGGGGTGGGGGGTGGAAGGAGAGTGAAAAAGCGGACTGGTGGGAGAGTGGAGATCGAGGGAGACGAAGAACGTAGGTGCATGGGCCGGGTCGGGCCAGCACTGCCGTGCCTCGGGCCACGTCGGCCTCAGACCAGTCGGGCCGGACAGCCCGACGGACGGCACGGGTGCCTCGCCGGAGCGCCGAAGCACGGCACGCAGCACTCCGGGCCGCTGTTGGGTGTGGTGTCGTGCCGGGCTGCCGTGGGTCTGCTCGAGGACGATGCCAGCGCACGGGGGGTGGAGGCGGAGGCGCTTGGAGTGGGGTTCGGGTAGCGAGACCCAGTGGCGGGCGAGCGGGTGCTTGAGGCGGCGGAGGAGGATCTGCAGGGGGGCACGGAGCCAGCGCACGGGGGTGGAGGTAGGAGAAGCAGTCGGGGTCGGGGCAGTAGATAAAGGACAGAGAAAACGTGATTTCGAATCTGATTTTGACCGGTCAAAGCTGGGTTGCTGGCTGTTGGTTGGCCTCACGTGCGTTAGAGAGAGGCAGAGAGGTTCTCGAGCCCTCCTATTTGCCGGTCGCTGCGGCGGCACGTAGTATTTTTTTTTTCTTGGGGAAAGCTGTCACTTTATTGATTAACTATGTTATCATTGATCACTCTCCATTGACCAGTAGTAGCTGCTTTCGTTGAGTTGTGGGCACTCTTTTCTTTCTCTATTTCCGAAAAACTTAATACTTTTTTTACTCTCTCCGTTTTTTTAGTCTGCTTATAAGTTTAGCATGCAGTCGAAAATATCTCTACTTTGACCAAATTTGTAAAAACAAATATCAACATTCACAATGCCAAATCAATATAAGTTAGATTCATTATGAAATACAAAATTAAGCACCCACAAGTTTTCCTTCCCTAACCCTACGTGGCTAGGGAAAACTCTCTCCTCCAAAAACTTCGCCAGCGAACCCGTGGATTCGCCTTCTCTCTGCCTGCCGCTTCGGCGGTCGGTGGTGGGGAGGGGAATCCCGGTGCCTCCGCTCTGTTTAGTAGTTTAGGTTAGGGTTTTTAGTCCTCGCATGTGTGGTCCTCGGGTGGATGGTGGCGCTACTTCTTTGAATTTGTTTTCTGGGCTCCGTTCCTCCTCGAGTTCGTCCGTCTGGATGTAGTCAACGGAGCTCCGACGTTGATTCCTGCCATCTCTTTGGCGCGGTGAGGTTAAGGTTTCTCGTCTTGTGGCGAGATTTGGTGCCAGGTACTTCAGATCTATGCAAGGGTTCAACGGCGACGACTGCGACTTGAGGGCGCTAGCCCTTAGGGGTATGTACATGAAGACTTCCCGGTTGTCATTGACAAGATCAAGCCGGCTCCGGTAGGGGACCGGCGACAGCGGCGCGTCGGCGGCTCGTTCTGGCGACAGTAGTGGTTGTTTGGAGATCTTGGAATCTCAATGTAATTTTTATTATGTTCGAGATGCTTTGTACTTCTACTGAACTTTGATAATATATCTGGATCATTTTTCCAAAAGAAAAGATTCATTGTGAAATATAGTTTCATAGTATATATATTTTGTATTTTAGATGTTTATATTTTTTAATATAAATTTGGTCAAACTTTATAAAGTTTGACTTGACAAAAATCTAATACACGGAGTAAAAAGCACCGGAGGGAGTATGAATATCTGCGTTTGCATTGTGTTAAAAAAGATAAAAATGTGATGTCAGATTTTTAAACTTCTCGTGCAATTGCGTCGTTCGACGTGCCGGGCCATCTTTTGGATGTGTTCACTGCACACACAGACCACGCGAATGAGCTTCTTGGCTGGCTCATTTCCCTCCCCCACGCCTCTCTCTTCCCCACCCTTCTTCCCGACTAGATCCCGACAAGCTGCGGTGGCCAGCCCACTAATCTGACCAGATCCCCAGCATGGGTGGTCATCGAGCAACGCGAGAGGATGTCGCATAGCGCCGTAGAGGGGGTGGGGGCTACAATGGAGGGTGCTGCGATGGAGCCGCCTCCTTGCCGGGGGAGGAGCCGGTGGTGCCAGCTGATGGCGTCGTAGAGATGATGAGGGCAACAAAGGAGAGCTGCGGGAGTGTAACACCCCGGATAAGACTTTCCCAATATGTATCCCAACTCTTGCCGTTTCCAGCCTTAAGTTATTTTATTTTCTCGGATTCGGGTCTTTGTCTCCGTGTGTTGTTGTCGTTGTCATGCATCTCATATCATGTCATCATGTGCATTGCATTTGCATACGTGTTCATCTCATGCATTCGAGCATTTTTTCCGTTGTCCATTTTGCATTCCGGCGCTTCGTTCTCCTTCGGTGGTCGTTTCTACCTTTCTTTCGTGTGTGGGGATTAAACATTTCCGGATTGGACCGAGACTTGCCAAGCGGCCTTGGTTTACTACCGGTAGACCGCCTGTCAAGTTTCGTATCATTTGGACTTCGTTTGATACTCCAACGGTTAACCAAGGGACCGAAAAGGCCTTGTGTGTGTTGCAGCCCAACACCCCTCCAAGTTGGCCCAAAACCCACCTAAACCTTCTCCATCATCTAGAGCGTTCGATCATGATCGCGTGGCCGAAAACCGCACCTCATTTGGACTCTCCTAGCTCCCTCTATGCCTATATATAGACCCCTCATTCCAAATCTCGGATCCCCTCCCCGAAACCCTACAAAAAATCTCAGATCCGCCGCACCGGACGTGTCCGGCCCACGCCGGACAACGTCCGCCGGCAATCGCAGCCAACCGGGAGGCGCCACGTGTCGCCACCGCACTCCCACCGCCGCCGGCCCACTCGGGCCCGAGGCCGGCCCTCGCGACCCGCCTCTCCGCCGCCGCCGCCCACGGGAGACCGCGCCCCCGCTGCCGTCCTCCTCCCGTCCGGCGCTGCCGCCCGCCATCTCCGGCTGCCCGGACCTCCACCGCCCCGCCGCACAAGGCCGCGCCTCCGGCCGCCCCTCGCCGCCGACGCCAGCCGCGCCCGGACCTCCTCCGGCGAGTCTCCCCGCAGCCCCGGCGTCCTCTTCCTCCGGCGAGCCCGCGACGAACTCCGGCGAGCTTGACGAACTCCGGCTGACGAACCTCGGGAAACGTGCCCCGGATCTCAGATCTGGAATTCAAACACTAGGGTTGACCTTTTTTCTCCTAAATTTGCAGATTATTTGCTCCTGTTCATCATGCTATATCTCCTCATCCGTAGCTCTATTTTGGGCATATAGCATATCAAAATGTTAATCTCAGAGAGTACATCATTTCATTCCATTGCATCATTTTCATTTGAGTTCATCTTGATGCCCGAAATGCTGTTAGAAGAGTGCTACTTGAGTTAATTGTCAGATCTGCTGCTCCATTTAGATATTTGTCATTTTTGCCATGATTAATGTGTGCATGATGTGCCCATGAGCTCTACATGTGTTTTGTTAAGGGTTTTGCCATCTTTCAATAGGTGCAACCCATGTATTTTTGTGATGTGTGTGGTGACTAGCACAAGCTTGCAAAGTGAGGCACTTGGTAATGCTGATTTCAGGGACTTAGCATTTCCACTAAGTCCTTGATCTGGTTATCTCATATGGCCATATGTTCATGTTGTTTCCTAGTGATCCGTGCCTCTTTTGAGGATGATCAGTAAGGATGTTTTGTTAATCTTGTAGTGCTCTATTCATCCATGTCTTTGTTTGCAATTATGGAGCACCCTAGCTTGAGTCAATCGAGCTCTACTTTTGCTACTTCGTGAATCTGGGCAGATTGTCTACTTGTTAGCAATTTTGCCGAGGATGTTGTAGTTGATCCGTGCATGCTATGCTATTGTTCTTGCCATGTCTAGCTTGCATTTTATGTATTCTTGATGGGTGTATGCTTACATTATCATGACTTGCTCCGTAGTGAGTGCATCGAGCTCGTAAACATGCCTACTTGATATCTGTTTTCAGCATGTGCCAGTTTTCACTAAGTCTGAAAACTGATTATGCTTTTGCTATGTTCACATGCTTGCAAATGTGTTTTCTGATCCCTTTTGGCTCAAGGTCACTAAGGGACTTGTTAAGCTTTTTGAGTAGCTCCATGCCATGTTTTACTTTGCCATGTTCGGGTCCTGTAGCATGTAGTTTTGTTGCTCCGAAGTGTGCTACCTGATCTGAAATTCCAGACAAGTGTTAATTTCACTAAGTCTGAAATCTGTTTGTCATATGCATTTTTTGCCATGCTTGTTTGAACCTGTTAATGGATGAATTGGCCGTAGCTCAGTGCTAGACTTTTGTTAAGCATCTTGAATGCATCCCTGCCATATATTTTGATGCCATGTTTGGGTGCTGTAGCATGTTCACTTGTTGCATTTAGATGGCTACTTGCTGTAAATCGCAGAACGTGGTCATATTTGAATCGCTTGCTATTTCCAAACCGTAACTCCGATTCCGGCGTTCTTTATATTGTTTTCAAGTGATTTCATCTCATCTTTCCAGTGACACACTTGTATTTCCAAGTTGAGGCCAGGTTCATGCATTCCTTGTCACATCTTGCATATGCATCCCGCATAGCATACCATCTTTGCATCATGTTGTTTGAGTTTGCACGTGGTTGATTGTGTCCTTGTTGCTTGTTTGTCTTGTTTGGGTAGAGCCGGGAGACGAGTTCGCTAACGAGGAGCCCGTTGAGTTTGCTTTCGAGGATCCAGTCAACTCTGACAACTTTGCAAGCAAGATGATCATACCCTCGAAATCACTACTATCTTTGCTATGCTAGATTGCTCGCTCTTTTGCTATGCCAATGCTACGATGCCTACCACTTGCTTTCAAGCCTCCCAAATTGCCATGTCAAACCTCTAACCCACCATGTCCTAGCAAACCGTTGATTGGCTATGTTACCGCTTTGCTCAGCCCCTCTTATAG